TCAAACCCCCTTAGTAGTAAGAAAACCAGGAGGTTTGGATAGCATTTGGACTTAGTATAACGGAAATTTCAGTTCATCTGGGTGTTAACTTAAATAGATACTCGTTTCTGATTGGTGATATCTAATTTGGTTCTTTTAGGATACTAATCTGGTTAGCACAATTACTTTGGCATTTGGTTAGCAGCCCTTAAATTCCAAACTAGGTTTAACGAAACCTAAATTTAATTGGGCTTTTACTGTAAACCAAGAACATGATGTGCTAATTCGTCTAGATTCAGACTTAGGTGACAACAAGTTGAAGATTCATAGTGAAGCCTCTGCGATTATGTTCCTGCAAATCGGTTTTTATTCTGCTGTTGTCTAATGACCCTCTTTGCATGAGTATAGAGGGAGGGAGGGGGGGTTGGGTGCGATGTGGGAATGCATCTAAATTAATGTATTGATCGGTTTATTTGGTTACTCAGATATGCAGTCTCATTGATGGCATAAAATGTACTCCCTTTTGAGATAACATGATTTGAACACAATTTACTGCCTACTATTGTCAGGTTTACTTCGTTTGCCTCGTGCAAACAGTTACATCGATAGAATACTGATGGAGGATCTAGTTTAGAGGTGTTCCCTCCAAATTTTTTGTATCCTTATTTATTCATTTATTTATTTATTTCGCATGGCAGGCATTTTGATAGTTATCACTAGCTCTTAGCTGATTTCGAACTTCACAGAGGAGAGAAGCATCAAAGATGAAGAGGGTGGAGCGAAGAGTGATTTGCAGATGTAAAAGAGACAGACACAATGATAGAGAGTAGGGTAAGGTGAATAGTGTAGAAGTGGTGGACTATGAAACACAGTGAGGTCATGGTAGTTTGAAGTGCGAAGTCAACTGCCGCTTAATAGACTTTTATGTCGTATGAGTATACGTTGACCAAATGTTTAGTATTGCCTTACTTTTCCAATTTTACTACTTTGAACATGCAATTGCATGTGGTAACGTGTAATAACACTTTCTTGATGACATCTGGTCACAACAACATAGTATTCTTTAGTACGCGTTGAGGTGATAGGTGATGGTATAAATGGTGACCACAAGCTCTCATCTCTTTGGTAAAAGACGAGAAGATAATTTACTCATTTATTTATTAGAATCGGAGACGTAACCTAATAAAAATTTCCCAAATTTTTACGATTTGGGTGGGGTGCCACTCCTTCCTCATAATCTTAAAATATACCTGAGTTCTGAAGCTTCATTAAAAACCTCGTTACGACAAAGAAACCACCCATTAAATGAAATAGTTGCACCTTTGCAACTTTACAAGACAATTAAATTTAATTTTGTTTAAAAGGTAATGCTTTCAATCCGCATATGTGGATCTTATGTTCCAATCTTGTGAGCATTATGCTCAACGACAGCTTCACATTTTAATTTTAAAAGTGTAACCGGGGTTTTTGAAAATCCGCCCAGGGCGGTTAAGTGGGAAATTCCATTTCATGAAAATATTTTGCAACCAAACCCCGATAAACCCCGGTAATACTCATCAATGCCTCCGCTTGTCAAGATGAGTAGAAATAGGTGGTCTCTTCGGTTTTGTCAACAGTCTCTACCTTTCAGTAAGATCTCCTCTAAAACCACCATTCCTGATTGCAGAAAAGGATATTAATATGGTCAACATCAAATGAACAATGTACACTAATCTCTCAATTAATTGGCTGGTTAGTCGAGATGAATCTCTTGCCGTAGAAACGCATTATTAAAATCAGACACGATAGATGAACTTTATTTCAAATTCCACCGGTGTGCGTTTGATAATAGGAATTCGATTATTCTCGACACTTTTAAATCCAAATAGGGGTTTGATAGGCACAGATTGTAACAACAAAAAAGTTCTTATCAGTTTTCGTTATTCGGACGAGATAGTATGATTTATGGAATATTTATCAGCTGAACGAATTGTACAAAGATATGCCTTTCAACATGCGCAGGATAATTAGAAATAAGGAATGCGTCAAACTACGATAAGATTAAATTATTATTGATTAATGAGAAAAAAATTATAAAACTTCAAAAGTATGGTACCCCAACGATTAGGTTCAACTTGGACGAGCACAGTTTGTCACATGTAGGTTACATCTGTATGCTTAGGAATGACATGATGGAACGAGATGTCAATAGTGACCCTCCTGGATAAAATAACAAAGATTAACAAGCACCAAACACCTTCGGTAAATATTTGCTGCAATCTAAGGAACGAAGCATAAAATTTGAATCTTGGAACAGGAACCGTTCATCTAGTAAGTACTTTACAGCCTGAAACCAATAAGTTAATGATATCAAGATGTTGGAATTACTGTTACTTAAAGTAAATTATTATCCGCAATTGAAATTTGTCAAATTTTCATCACCACCATCACTTTGAACAGTAATATTAATTCAATTGTTGAACAATGGGTGGTTTACGAGTTTTCCTCAAACGTCGTATACTGTTTCAATGGTTATATCACTCATAAAGCATACACCCATTAGGAAAATATGGAGTCTAAGTGATGGCGACTGCACTAATAGAAGTTACAATTGAAAAGATAAAACGTATTCCGATGCATTCTATAATAGCCAATAAGAGGAGTCACTTTACGCTGGAATCACATTAACAGTGCAAGGTAAGAGTTAGTCGGCAAAGATTGGCTCATTTATTAAGACCCCATGTTGGTGAGAGTATTTGAGGTGCGGTTCAACTGCATGACCTCATTATTGCTGTTGGAAAATGCCAAGACCAGAAGAATTGTCTGTCTCCACCCATTTGAGCACCAAGGATGCAGAATCGGCGAGTACAGCAAAACCTCCAAGAAATAAATTTGTTCAATTTTTCATTGACAACTGGTTTATGATTACAACTATAATTGGAGTCATTATTGGCTTCGGTGTTGGATTCGCTTTAAACCAAAAAGGACTGGATGCAACTGCCAAAACTTGGATAGGTAAAGTCCCTACTCATTTTATTAATCAATCTCTCTCTCCAGCCATGCCTGGTGATATCTATATTCGACTCCTTAAATTGACCATCTTACCAATGATTTCTGCCAACATTATCAATGGTAAGTCACATAGCTAATTACTTATTACAATGAAAGTAACAGTCAATTAATGAAATCATTTTAATGCAGTTATGGCTAACTTAAATCCGAAAGAAAATGGCAAAGTCAGTGCAATTTCTCTTGGATTTATTCTAATCTTCAACCTTTTGAGTCCCCTTATTGGAGTTATGTACGCTTACATAATTCAACCCGGTAAGTTAGTTAAGAAATGTAATGATTGCAAATAATTTAATAAACAAGAAATACATTATAAGTTATGCCAGCACTGAAATCTAAAATATAACCGAAAATTTAATAATATTTATTTATATATATATTTATTTATTTATAAATCACATGTGAAATATTTTTGAATGCATCATAATTTAAACTGTTTGTAAAAATTTGACTCACCTCACTTAGAATGGTTTATTAATGCAAAATTAGTTTCGACCTCAAACAAGCCTACTTTGATGGAAAATGATGAAACTACTAAACATGTCATCTCTTGGTCCTTCCTCTGGGGAACAGAGTAAATAAAATAGGCGGATGTGGAGAAATGGGTAAAGGAGGAATTGGAAGGAACGAAGGTGGCGTTAGTTCTAGAAGAGGACTATCAGAACTGAGAGGAACATGCAATTGGGAAATTTGAGTCATTTTATTACTACTATTGATTGATAAATGGAGACTGAACTCGCGAGAGTACTACCAGATGTTTTATTGTTCAAAAATTTGACCAAAAATGTAAACATTTTCAATAATTTTAGGTAAATGGGCGATAGGTGATGACGTCCCGGGTGGGGGCGATCCGGGAGCTCATGGGGGAAACCAAATCTCCTACATTTTCAGGGACCTTCTCCTGTAAATAAAGCGAAATTAACCTCTTCAAGTAATCTATTTAAGTAAATTAATAATATTTGCTTTGATATATTTCAGGAACATTTTCCCTGACAACATTGTGGGTGTAACTTTATTCCAAGCCTCTACGGATTTCGACAATCCTATCACTAATAACGATACGAAAGAGGTAACCTATAATGCAGTCACAGCAAGTGGTACAAATATGATTGGTAAGACTATTGGCATTTAAGAATATAATTCTATTATTGTTTGCACAACGTACACCCAGCTATTTAGAAGTATTCAGTATACATGGTGTGCATGGTGTGATAATTGGGAAAAAGATATGAAGTGTTTGGTAACCCAATTTTTTGTTTGGGTTTTCGCCCTTCTATGAGCATATATGTGAACATGGACACGCCATTATTACTTTTAGGTGAATTGTGTAGAATATAGGAATTCGAGGTTTCTATTCTCTTCTACCTAAAATAGATATGAAGTTGATTTGTAATGGGTAATTTTTTAACTTCACGAAGTAGGTTACACTCACTTGAAAAGTTAACATGTTGAATACAAATTGAAAGGCCACACTGAAATGTTGACCTTCTCATTTAAAACAAATCGAAAATTGCCCCCAATATAGTTGATTTTGTGAGTCTTGAATCACCCCAAAAGCTATGAACTTTTCTAATTTGACATGTTTATTTCTTGAGGGCTATATTGAGACGGTGAGGTGATGAACTGCTTGTAAGACAATATAAATGCAGTGGAAGCCCTCTTATACATTTCTTTTGTTCTCTTTCAATGACTAGTTACTCATAGTATAAACATTTGGTATTTTTGCTTTGCCATTTCTAATCAACAAGGTTGAGCTGACTTGTACACACACAAACAATTTCGTATCTATAAGTACAATGAAGCTTGATTAACCTCGTCAAAAGAAATTTTTGTTCCACAGGCGTCCTCTTCTGCTCACTTGCATTCGGCATCGCGGCAAATGCAGCAAAGGAAAAGGGCGTAGCTTTTAAAAACTTCTTCGAGTCTCTCGGGGAGGTTGTGATGCTTTTGATGCAGAAGTTCCTCCTGTGAGTCCTACCTACCATATGTCTCTTTTTCCAACTCTCCGTGATTTTGATTGGTTGATCGATTAACTTGTTTTTTTGTTGGCTTTTTCCGGTAGGATCACACCAGTGGGAGTCATGTTTATGGTGATGAGTTCTATTGCCGATGTCGATGACATTGGGAAGACCTTTATCTCTCTGGGCTTCTTCGTTTTGCTCAATGTCGTCGGTCAAATCACACATTTTATCTTCCTCCTCCTTAGCCTTGTTGTATTGTGCAAAAATCCATTCATTATTCTCAAATACTCTCTACAACCATATTTCATTGCATTTGCAACCACCAGCGCGTAAGACATTGATATATTTGGAAAACGAATTGATGAATCTGAGCATCCCCTAAGTAACAACTTGTTGTAACTTCAGCATCGTCTCCCTCCCGAAAGGTTTCATTGCCTGTGATCAATATGGCATTCCGAAATCTATTTCCCGATTTATACTCCCGTTTGCTGGAACTATGAAAAGTGACGCATCTGCAGTATTTATTGCTGCCTCCTGTCTCTTCGTGGCTCAGCAGCAAAATGAGACATTGGATGCTGGTAAGGTTTTCATCATTGTGTAAGTCTCCTGGCAGGTCTGTAAAATCTCCTGAGATGAAATGCATGCTTAATAGGTCTTTTCTTGCAGGATCCTTTCTTTCGCCTACGTGACAGCCTTGCCGAATATTCCAAGTGCCAGTGTGGTTGCAGTTGTTACAATTTTGGGCTCAATCGGAGTCAACGAAACAGGAGCTTCTCTTCTCTTTGCTGTGGAGTTCATCAAGTAGGTCTATTAGGAACAATTCTAGGAAATTTTTTCTTGGATTACGATTGGCACTCACTAAAAATGGCATGATATTAAGCTGCTAACCATAAGCCTGGAATAGTTCACAATCCCATGTAATGGTAGTTTAACTTACACCTGATTGTACTCACAGTTAGTTGCTCGATGGTTAATTAACCACGGCTGAGAGGCTGAGTATTTCGGGTTTTAAAAACAGAGTGCTCTAAAACAGAGGAGGATATCAAGCAGTTCTCTGTTCCCTGTATTTAAAACAGGCTGCAAATGTGGTGAATGACGATTTACATTCGTACAATTCGAATCATCAATGCCTTAACTCTTTCAGTGACCGACTACGATCGGGAAATGTTGCCCTCTCTCACCTTTACTGTGCTGCGTTCACTTACCATGCCGTGGAGAAGGATTTGGCCCATCATGATGAAGATTGGGAGGAGGAAATTCGTGAGGTGGACGTATACGGTTCAGTGAAGAAGGCCTCTGAGTAATGCAGGAGCCATGAGCCATATCAAATCTAACCACTCAAAACTGCTTTGAAATATACGTAACTCTGCTTATATTTTATGATAAAATTTAATCTTTTGAAAATATTTATTTATATTCTATTAGATTGCATTATTTCTTGACACTTAGGAATGCCAAGACGATCTGGCAAATTAATCTAACTGCCAATTAATAAGCATAATAAATTGTAACAATGCTAATAATGCAATCAGATTAAAAGACGTGCACAACATTGGAATGGTCAGACTTAATAACCAATTCCATCTTGAACCACACCCAAACGTATTGATTTCAATTGGTGTTTCATTATCTAGCCCTTAGATGCTTGATTAAAATGTGCCCTTTTTCACTGCCCTCGATGAAAACGATAATGATCTATTGAGAATGACAGAGATCAACCTGACTGGAGGGCAAGCATAATATTTAATTACTCGGCAGTGAATGCGATCGGCTTCTCACCGACTCAATTGATTAATTTTTTGCTTTGAAACAGTGTGTTAGAGCCTTTATAATAATTATGTGTCATAATATCTAGTACGTTGAGTGAGCGTCTTTGGACATTTTGTGAAATTCCATGAAGAAATGTATTTTTCTTCGTTCTCATTCCATTAGAAAGAGTTTGAAATGTTTTAATTATGTATATGGTTTCACGAGGTT